CCACCCCCCCCAAAAAAGGAAGTACAATTCCTACCTCCTGTCAAAGAATTCATACAAACTGTCCACATCTTTCATGCTAGGGGGATCCGAATAAGGAACCATCTTCTTGTGACTCAAAAAATTCGATGGCGCATTATCTTTACAATCTGATGAGATCTTTGGAAATGTTATTCTTGCTGTTGTTTGCACAAACTTAACATATCCCTCAAAGGGAGTGAACTTTGTTACACCACTAAACCATTTACCCATTGGGATATTCAAATGATTAGCTGTAAACAAGAAAAAAAAATTGTTCGCAAATCAGCGCCAGCTAATCAAGTACAATATATTACAAACTTGCTATTCATGATCACCGACTTACCTGCCAAATCTAAGGCCAGCAAATCTCTTTTATTCTTTAAGCCCTGCCCATTCAGTTCACACACATTATCACCATAATTTTATAAGAAACAACAACAACAACGCCTCAATCCCAAATAAGTTTGGGTCAGCTATATGTATCCTCACTAACCAAGTTACTACATTTAAGCTCATCTCATTACAATACTACGCAGAAAAACAAATAAAAAGTAATAGAAGTTTGGTATAATTATAAATCACTGAAAGGCAATACTTTTATCAGTATCACTAAAAACTTATCATCTTAAAGGCAATCACAATACATTATATTGGGTCCTAGCATTTGATTAGATAATTCTTCAAAAAACAAAAAATCTAAAACTTGTGCGCGTTTCGCATAATAAAATCAACAAAGTCAACGATCAGATAAAATTAGCTACTGATATTCACAAACTGTGTTGCAATTTCAGCATCGTCAAGGATAATTGAAATTACCGGAAAATAAGATAAACATAAATTTCACGAAAATGACAGAGAGATTTGAGTATGAAGATTACAATAATAACTTACAGAAAAAGAGGGTCGGCAACAAAGTCGCAGAGACATGGACATGGCCATTTCTGGACTAGAGTTTCTCCAGGTTTAATTTGAAATGTGCTCTTCTCAATTCCCTTTTTTTAAACCACGTAAGATTATTGAATGTATCGTCTTCCACGTCGCACAATTTTCCACCGCTCAGAACTGAAATTTAAGGAAGATTTGCAATAGCTTCAAAAGCTAATCACTAACAGCTTGTTTGGATGGGTGTTACGGACTGGACTGGATGGCTAATTGGCTACAATTTTGTATGGTCTTGTTACTTTAAAGGAAAAGGTTCAAATTTATACTTTTATTTTTGAATATTGTTTACATTTTACTATGTTATATTATTTGACCAAACCATCAACAAACTTTTATAAAATTACCTTTTAATTCATTTAGGTGACCCATAATCTCTACAATCATTTTAATTAAGTCACTTATTCTCCTTCTTGATTCAAAATTTTGAAATAGTTAGCATTTACTTGCTTTTTTAGTCGAAAAAATAAGAGAAATAAATATTAAAATTGTGTACAACAGTTAGTAAATAAAAGTAGCTTGTCTAAATTCAAGAAGTATTTACAACACCCCAATTTTAATGAATTCGTTGCACCAAACCTATGGAGACTTTACAAGTATTAGCGATAGAAGTTAAAGTTCCCTAGAGACTTTACATTGTCGAATTCAACTTTGCTTTAATTAAATGCATACGCATTGTGCACCCTTAAGTTAGCCGATGGAACTCTATACTAACCAGACAATAACAAAATATATTCAATATACATGTATATACATGATAAGCAACTGCACGTAATACGCAATAAATAGACCCATTGAATTATATGATATGTATATGGTTAAAAAATAAATAAAATTTTAAACCAATTCCAAACCCATTATCATAATAATAGAAGTGGTGCACTTTTAATTAAAAATCTCCATGAATAATTTGTATAGTCTAGTATCTTTAGTATTCACATCAATAGTAATTTCTAAAAATAGTAGAGCAAGAAGAGCAAAACGTGATTAAAATAAAAGGAAATTGAGATATTTTGGATTACCTAACATACCAAAGGGTAATTTTTAAAAGTTTGCTGATAGTAGGGATAATTTAACCGGATAATATAACGATAGGGGTACATTCAACTGGATAGTATAACAGAGGTTAAATGTAGACAATATCCGAAAGTAGAGGGGGTATATTGGCCCTTTTCCCTACTTTAAATATGGGATTTTTACCTTCCTATACTACATACGAAACTTTATTACTCTTCCTAATCATGTTTTAACTTACTTACATGACCATATATAATTTACCAATTATATACAAATTAGTTTTAAATGAGTATCCGTTTAAATTAGGAATTGAATAAGGAATCAATTATTTCTCATCCATGTTCTCTCTCCTCTCCCGCTCTCTCTCTCTCTTCGTCTCTCTCCCCTGCGCTCTCTCTCTCTCCCCGTCTCTCTCTCAGTCTCTCGATGTCTCTCTCTCCGTCTCTCTCTATTTCTCATTCTCTGTTCTTTCCCCAATTTTCTTCCTCTAAATGTTGTGTACTTTTTATCCTTTCATGTTGTATATATTTTTAATGGAATTCATCAATGGATTTCAATCGTTTTACGATAGAGTTTTAATTTAACAATTTTCTTTCATGTTGCACAATTGGTGTTCAAATTGACATTGTCAATCAATAAATTTTGAAGGTGTTTGACTCTCCACCATTAGCAGCTATTAAAAAGCTTTGAAGTTTTAAAATCGAATTTGGGTTTTCAAAAATTATTATTTGTTTGGATTATGTCACGACCCGGATTTCCCACCCTCGGGAGTCATGATGGCGTCTACTCGTGAAAGCTAGGCAAACCGCATATTGTAGAATTACTAACTCATTTATTAGCCCTTTTTAATAATTTAAACTAACATGTGATCAACAGTGAAACATTAACGATAAATAAAACAAGCAGAAGACTTAATCTGATAAAATAACCAAAGCCTACATGACAATGCCAACATATGTCTCTACCCGGAATTCAGTATCACAATATCACGGACTATCTATGAATACTACATACAAGTGTCTGAAAAGAAAAGTACAATCTGTCTCGGAAGTAAATGAAAACAGAATACAGAAAAAGATAGAAGAGAGCACCGGGCCTGCGGACGTCTACATGGCTACCTCGGGATCTCTAGCTGGACTGAAGGCAGCTACCCAAAGCTATGGTCCAAAAGTTGCTCCAAAATCTGCACATAGTGCCGAGTGTAGCATTAGCACAACCGATCCCATGTGCCGATAAGTGCCTAGCCTAACCTCGGCGAAGTAGTGACGAGGCTAGGACCAGTCTACCAAATAAACCTGTGCAGTTATATAATATACAACGGAAAATAAAACAGGCATAAACAAGTAAAGATGGGAGGGAGTACATGTTGCAGAAGAATATTCATGCCAACAGTAAATTAAGAGAAAAGCATAAGGAACAGTTTAGAATCTACAACAAACTAATGAAGAACTCGCAGCCAATCTATAAACAATTCATATTTTCTATTGTTACGACGCGCAACCCGATCCAAAACATAATAACCTTGTTGCGGCGTGCAACCCGATCCATATCATTTATCACTGTTGCAGCGTGCAACCCGATCCATATCATTTATCACTGTTGCGGCGTGCAACCTGATCCATATCATTTATCACTGTTGCGGCGTGCAACCCGATCCAATTATATTATTGTTGCGGCGTGCAACCCGATCCACATATACAGTTCAATATCAATTCACAAGTAGAGTCCCGACAAGGGATCAATAAAGAAACAACGCTATCCCGGCAGGGGAATCAACAATATAAGTAAATATATCCTGGCAAGGGAGAAACAGCTATAACCAAACTTGTTCCAACATCTAACTACCTCAGCTAACACTAATACTCAATCATAAGTAATTTCTACAAGAATAATCATAATCCTTGCTCAATACAGAGAATCATCAACTTAAGCATCCGTAGTATTATTCAAGAACACAATAAATTTCAATTTAAGACTCATGGTCATGCTCGACACCAACGTATAGATACTCGTCACCATGCCTATACGTCGTACTCAACAAGAAACAAGTAGCAAATAGGACACAACTCCTAATCTCTCAAGCTAAGGTTAGACCAAACACTTACCTCGAACTTCCACGACCAGCTCAAGCCTCAAACACCGCTTTTCCTATTGAATTTGGCTCCAAATCAATTGTATCTAGACATAATTGACTTCATAACATCAATAAACGCTAAACAATCCAATTCCAATGCTTAATTATAGCTTTCCCATCATTCTTCCCCAAAAGTCAAAAATCGACCCCGGGCCCGCTTGGTCAAAATACGAGGTTCGGACCAAAACCCGATCACACATTCACCCACGAGCCCGAATATATTATTCATTCCAAAATTCAACCCCAAAACGAGGTCTAAATCCCAAATATACAAAAAGCCCCAACTCTACCCATATCCCTAATTTTCTACCCTCAAGAGCATGATTTAAGCCTAGAAATATAATGGGTGTTAATGAAAATTGAAAAAAATGAGTCTAAGATTACATACCTATGAATTGGTGGTGAAATTCCCTTTCAAAAATCGCCCAATTTGGAGTTTAGAAGGAAAAGTTATGAAATTTTGGTTAACTCTCGTTTTTCTTCTGTTTTAAAATCACTGGACAAACCTTCATCGCGTTCGCGATAGGCCTGTTGCGTTTGCGATGAGTTAGGCCTAGGTGACCTTCGCGTTCGTGACCATAGGCTCGCGTTCTTGGAGCTTTGAATCCTCGAGCCTTCGCGTTCGCGGGCCAGTGGCAGCTTTCACATATAACAAGTGAGAACCCCCTCCCCCAGGCCAATTGCCTTATGCGTTCGCGAGCGCCTCGACGCGTTCGCGAAGGGTACTCCCCCCTCAGCCTCACGTTCGCGTCTCAGGCTTCGCATTAGTGAAGAAGAAAACTGGCACCTGGGAAATTTGCCTTACGCGTTCGTGAGTGGGACCACGTGAACGCGAAGAACAAAATCCCTGTGCATTGAACAGCAAAACCTGCAACTTTCATAAGTTCAAAAACTTTTCGAAACCCATCTGAAACTCACCCGAGCCCTCTGGGATCCAAACCAAACATAAGTACTAACTCAAAAACATCGTATGAACTTACCCGTGTGATCAAATCGCCAAAATAACCTCTTAAACAACGAATTTAGCGTAGAAATCCAAGAAAAATCTCAACACTTTCAAAATATGAATTTTCACAACTACGGGTCCGAATGACCTCAAACAACTTCCGTTTCTTACCAAATTTCACAGACTCATCTTATTTCACATATAAGACCTGTACCGGGTTCCGAACCAGAATACGGGCCCGATACCATCAAATTCTAAATGCATTTCATTTCCAAAACTCATAAAATTTTCCAGAAAACAATTTTCTTTAAAAATTCATTTCTCGGGATTGGGACCTCGGAATTCGATTCCGGGCATACGCCCAAGTCCCATATTGTTTCATGAACCCTCCGGGACCATCAAATCATGGGTCCGGGCTCGTTTACCTAAAATGTTGACCGAAGTCATCTTAAATGTATTTTAAGTCAAAATTTCAATATTTTTCATAGATTTTCACATGATAGCTTTCCGGCTACGCGCTCGGACTGCACACGCAAATCGAGGTAATGCTAAAAGAGGTTTTTAAATCCTTGGAATACAAAATTCATTTTAAAAATAAGTGATGACCTTTTGGGTCATTACATTCTCCACCTTTAAAACAATCGTTCGTCCTCGAATAGACATAAGAAGGAAGTACCTGAGTCGGGGAAAAGATGGGGATAACGGCTCCCCATATGGGCTCGTACTCCCAGGTCGATGCCTCAACAGGCTGACCTCTCCACTGAACACGAACAAAAGGAAAATTCTTCGATCTCAACTGATGAACCTGCCGGTCTAGAATAGCTACCGGCTCATCCTCATAAGACAAATCCTTGTCTAACTAGACAGTGCTGAAATCTAACATGTGGGATGGATCGCCGTGATATCTCTAAAGCATGGACACATGAAACACTGGATGCACGACTGATAAGCTCGGCGGCAATGCAAGTCTATAAGCCACCTCTCCCACTCGATCAAGAATCTCAAACGGGCCAATGAACCTAGGACTAAGCTTGGCCTTCTTCCCAAATCTCACCACGCCCTTCATAGGCGACACTCGAAGCAATACCCGTTCACCGACCATGAAAGCCAAATCTCGAACCTTGCGGTC